GTTTTTACTTATTTGTTAATTAGTATAATAATAAAGCATGTTATACATAAATTACTTTATTTACAATAAAGTAATTTAAAATTATATAAGTTATATTGAAAAGATTATATGTAAATGTATATAGTAAAATTATTTTCCTTTTTTTAAATAAAATATTGTATCATTTAAAACATGTTACGTAAAATATTTTCTTTATTACGTTAATTTTAATAATCATTTACGAGAGAAATTTGATGATAGACATATGACGCACACAATGACACTAAAAATAATTCAAGTTTAAAAAGGTGTAAAATTTAATTTTTAAATTTTTATTTTTCATTAATTTTTATTACTATAAAATTATCTTTTTTATTATACCATCAGTTCAAAGACATTCTATATATTCCACGATTTTCGATATCGAAAATATACGAAATAGATTACTAATATAAAGTTATTTAAAAGTTACGGACGCAATGGGTTAAGATTTATCAGATTAAGATCACGATCGTTTGGTCGAAAAAAAAAAACAATTATATATTGCGAGGATATTTACAACATCAATTGATAATATATTCTCCGGTATCATTTTAACTTTTATCATTATTGAAGTCTCAACTTCGAGACCAATGTACAGTTCTCACTTTTACAGCCTAATATAATTTCCAGCGCACAGATATTTTACTATGTTTTATAAGAAAAAAAATGGCTTACAAAATGGACGCTACGACTAGCGTTAATTTAAGATTTACTGCAAGGTTGGATAGTATAATTCAGCGGAGGAGGCGGGATTAGAAGAGGCAACGGAGTCGGTGGTGGTGGAGCTTGAACAGATGTCAAGGTTGTCGTCGTAGTTTGTGGTTGTTCAACGGCTCGAACCGTTGTATTGTAGATTGAAAGATAACTGGGCCAGAGATGAGGCGGAGGTGGAGAACCAGGGGGTGGCGGAGGTGGCGAACGGTCGTCCATTTCGTCAGAATCATCCATCATCATAGCTGTCAATGGAGTAATGCGTGGTTTCTTCAACTTGATTATCTTTACCTATAAAAATATAAAAAAGAAAGTATATTTCACATAATGCAATTGAAAGATATCCCTGGAATCTGAGCTTCTTTTTCTAAACGAGAGAAAACAATAATGACATACCTTGACCTTTTTTTTTGTCTTTGGTGGTCTTGCTCTTTTCTCCTGCTTTCTGCTCTTTCGAGAACTGTAAATCTTATCCCTTCTCAAATCTCCAAATCCTTCGCGGAAAGCTACACTCTTCGGCGGAGGCGGTGAAGGCATATCACCTTCGCCACCACTGGGACTAGTCCCCTCACCAGGTTTCACGCCATCAGCAAACTGAACTGATTTTTTGTTCCTCTTTGCCAATTTTGCTAAATTTGATTTACCGGATTTGGCATCAGACTCCACGTCTTTGTCGCATTCATTATTTTTATCTATTTCTTCATCTTTATCGCTACCTTTGATGTTGTCATCCGATAAATCATCCAAATTACCATTGGGAATAGCGTCTCTTCTGTAAAAAAATCCACTTATTGATGCACGGTACAAGCTAAATATAATATATTGAGTCTTAATGAGATAATTGGGTCGCCTTGGCAACTATGTTATCTCTGATTTATTCTTGAGAGCCTAATTGCTTTCAATTTAAATTTAATGAGATAACTTGCAAAATGTTTCTTTTACTCACAATGGGATTATGTAAAAGATGATTTGCTTACTAATTTTTAATAAATATTAAATCTGTAAAAGTTCTATTTTTAGGAAATATTCAGACTAACTAGAAGATATTTAAACTATCACTAGAAGACTATAGACTTTAATTAGAAAATATTCAGGTTAACTAGAAGACATCGACAAACCTAAATCCCGGTACAACCAATATGCCTTTTAATGGCGGAGGTGGCAATTCCGGCCATTCCTTCCTACTTTCAATTTCCGCCTGATCTTTAATCGCATCAGACGCTGCTGTCGCTTCATCAATTTCAATTCGCTGATTAATCATTTGTAATGGTTTCTCATCGTCATCATCATCCTCATCTTCATCCTCTGCTTCTTCTTCCTCTTCTTCGTCATCTTCCACCTCAGCCTCAATCTCATCCTCATCATCATCTTCTTCGTCTGCGGCGGCGTCTTCGTCTTCTTCTTTAATAGATGTCACCACCTCCTCTTCCTCTTTTACAGGATTGGCTGATGAAGATTCAGCTTGTTCGTCTCCTTCTTTCAATGCCTTCAGCACTGACGGATCCACAATCGCACCTTTGCGGTGATCTAACAGGATTCCGCTCGTTTGTCGCGATGTATTATTCTTTTCTAGTAATCGCAAAGCTCGTCGATTAATCCGTTCTATCCTCCTGCGTTCTTTCTCTTTTCTGCGTAATTCGCGTAACCGTTTACGCTCTTCCTGCTCCTTACGGCGCGTCTCGAGTATAGCTTCGTAATTGTACACAGGTTGAACTATTTCTGCAACGTGAGGAATTTGTTCGTTGAGATTCATATATTTTTAGATGGTAAAAGTTACAAATATGAGCAACAGAAATATACATACTTTGTGGCTGAACCTCATTCCTCGGGAACGTTGCTGCTGTCGTGGGGGGAATTGGGACTGGTACAGGAACAGGTACCGGCAATGATAGAGGCAGTGGAGTAGCGGGTGACATAGTCGCGACGGGGACAAGAGTATTCGTCGCGGCGGGTAAGGCTGGTGGCACGGGCAATGGAACCGGGACAGGGACGGGTACCGATATGGGGACTGAGGGCGCCGAGGGTGAGTGTGCTGAAGAATATAAAACCCCACTTGATTGATCTGCAGTCGACGAAGACTGGCCGCCGCCGTTACTGCTGCTGCTCCAATCTAGTGACGTGGGTACTACTTGGAGGACGTTACCTACGCGGACCACTTGACTGGATCCGGATCGAACGGGCGGGGTCGCAGTTGCAACAGATACCTCGCGACGTGCCGATGGCATGCCATTGAAATCAGCAGGAACTACTTGTAGAACATTTCCAACCTGACAAGAACGTAAGGAATAATATTTAATAAATTGCTTTTAGCAATTAAATAAATAAGAAATATATAATACGGTATCATAAATGTCAAATACCTGTACAACTGTAGGCTGCTGTCTGTACATCATTTGTTGTTGTTGCTGTTGCGGAGGCGGAGACGGATACGCAATAACATTGGGATTGAAATTAGAAGAATATTCTGAAGTTACACCAATAGAATCCTTGCTGTGTTGCTTTTTAATACCTAATTCTAATTCTAATCTGTAAAGAATATATTAGACGTGATCATTACATTGCATATAGTGCTGATTATGGTTGTTTATTCTGAATAATATAAGATTAATACAATATTAGTACAGAATACAAATATAACAAGTAAGACAAAATAACAAAATTATATAATAAATTGAATACTCTTAAGACATGACATAAATCCTTACCTATCATCAAGAGATAAACGCTTCGGTGAGCTCGTAGATGACTCATCTATACAAGGAGGGTAAGTCAAATTATTCTCTGTGTAATAATATTCATTTCCACCTTCGATTTCATTTGGATATTGGAAGTTCGCAACAGCTGCATCCATACTGCTATTAATACTCATTTCTGAGTCCAAGATGGTTGTTCCCGGCATAATCCCTGACTGTACAATAGTCTCTATACGCCTACCCCTTTCACCACAAGCGTTAAACTTTTTGTTTTCGTCATCGTCCGTTCTCTCCCTTCCCATTTCGTTTATCCTACTCCTTCCGGGCGAGGGAGATCTACATTAAAATTTGACAGATTTTCATCACAAGTGATGAGGGATATAACAAAGTTTATATTTAAGGCTCCTGCCTAGTCAGCCACGAACTCCGCGTTGACGGTGGCGACACTATATCGCGATAGAAATTAGAAATCTATTTGTCATACTAGGCCCGTTCTATAATATGCCGGTGTTAAGTCGTAAACCGTGATAATTTTACACAATATGTTGTATGCCGATATCGGTAAAAATTGAATAATCACAATCGAATGTGAAGAAAATAACGGACCTACTATGAAAAGTGTTGACGGCGAATTTTGTCTTGCGTGCCATTTCGTTTTATTATACGCTTAATTGTGAAAATGTGACTTGTCTCGTACTCATCAAAGTCAAAAATGGATGGAAACTAAAGTTATTATTGAATTTTATACATAAAAGCATATTTCTCACTCCTTTCAACAGCTGTCAAATCGTGAGTTTTCTTGCTTGAATAGGCTTCACTTTAGATGCTTTTTACGACTATTTACTGACTATCAGGGAGGAAAAGAATAGTTTCCATCCAATTTTACAAGTTTTTTAAAGCAATCCCAGTTTTTTGTTTTATCCAAATCCAGTTTATTTAAAAATAACACGCAAGAAATTTTTATGTGTCATTTCTCGCCGTTTCTCGCTCATCACAATTCCAATATGGTGACTAGGCGGGAGCTTTAAAATTGAATCAAATTATACCTGGAAGATCGTAATTCGGACATCCTGAACGAATGTTCCGGGCTTCTTAATCTTGACATAGAAGCAGATTTGTCTCTCGATCTTATGTCAAATGGAGACCTGCTTCTCGATCTCGATTGCGATCTCATCCTCGGTCTTGTCCTCGACGTCGATCTAGAACGCGATCCCGACCTTGACCTAGATCGTGTTCGCGATCTCAGCGGTGACCAAGATCTTGAGCGCGATCTAGATTTTCGTCGAAACCGTTCTGGAGCCTGACGCACAGGCGAATACCGTAGACGCGGTGGTGTTCGATTTCGCAATCTGTGTCCTGGACGATCTAAATCCGAAGGGTCTTTGTCCTTCTCCCATTGCCGTTCCCTTCTTGCATTAGGTCTGTTCGAATTGAATGAAAAACATTAAATGTCTCTTGTATAAATAAAATTGTACACTTAATGTTCATGAATTACTTGTTGTAATTATCGACAAAGATTTCGCAAGAACGTTTTATCGATGTTACATTTCATCGTGTCTACTTAATATATAGAAGTCTATGAGTACCTTCTCCTATATTTTGATTGAGGCGAAGATTGTATCATATTTCTGTCCAGACTTCCTTCTCTATAATACGATCGATCGTCATATTCAAGAGGCAAATCTTGTCCGGCGGTGTACGAATCCATGGATTCGTTACCATCTCGTAAAATAGTACTGCTTTCATATTGCCACAATGTATGATCCAATTCTTCTGTGTGAAATCTAAACAACATTATTTATAATAATGTTCTTATAAATTACATATATTAATATATTAATAATTTATATATATTATATGTTTATAACATCCTTATAAATTATTATTCACAAGAAAGTTATATATTCATAATAAACATTATTTATAATAGATTTATTATATGGATATTCATAATCTCAATTTCATTGTGTGTAACATAATAATATAGTTTAATACCCTATCCTATTATCTTTGTAACAAGTAATCAATAAATGCAAATACATGAAAAATTTAGACATATAAATACAAAAGTCAAGTGAATTCCTATTATCTCTGTATTTTTCAGATTCCCCTGTTCTTTCCCTCAAAATTTCCATTGGATCATACGATCTAGTATCTTTCTCGTGTTCTCTATCCATATTGTCATGTCTTCTTCTACCCCAATCATCACGATTGCTCTTAGAAGATGCGATACTGTGCTTTTTAAAGTTATCTATAAATAAATTAATATTTAATAATATATAAAAAAATACATGTTTATACAGGGTGTCTCGAAAGGTGGCTCGAAATTCGCGAATCAAAATATCATCTTGGCGAGAAAGTCTTCGAAAAATTGAGTAAAAAAGTTATTTGTAAATTTTTAATTTAAGCAGTAGTTTTTGAGATATAAGAGTTTAAATTTAGCCAATTATAGATAAGTACTCGCGTGAAGTGCGCGACCACTAATACTATCAATGCGCTCACAGACATGTTTCCGTTTAATCGTAATCTATAGGCTAAATTTAAATTCTTATATCTCAAAAACTACTGCTTAAATTAAAAATTTACAAATAACATTTTTACGTAATTTTTCGAAAACTTTCTTGCTGATATTCTGATTCGCGAATTTCGGGACACCCTGTATAGGAAAATAATCATTTTAACTTTTTTACCCTCGTTGTAACCGAATCGCGGTGGAGATCGCGTATATCTCTCTTTTCTCTCATCTGTCCTCGATCTACTTGATCGTTCATCGTCATATCTCTCTCTTTTCTTATCTCTGTCTCGCGTACTGGTAGTAGCTTCGTCCTTCCTCTTTGGACTTTTACTACGACTTCTGCTCCAGCTGTGGCCAGGACTTCTACTCCCGCTTCCTTGTCGTTCCCATGAGACATATGGACTTCTGCTTCTCCTCCTTCTTCCTCGTCCTGAAGGACTCGATCTTCTCCTATCTGCAAAGTCCGCTTTGGAACTTCTGCTATCCCTTCTTTCGGATTTCTCCGCATCGTCAGATTTTCTTTCCTTCTTATCCTTATCATGCGAATATCGTTTCTCACTTTCTTTCTTGCCGGGACTTTTCTTCCTCTGCTCCCGCACGGGAGATCGTACGTTCGGGACATTAGTATCGCTTGGATTTCGATTAGTCTTGTATTTCTTCGCGTCGTCGTTCTTGCTTTCTCTGTCATAGTTCTCAGACTGCTCAGATCGAACGGAGACCGCCTTCTCCGATGCCGGGGATCTCGATTGTCGTATCGCTACTACTGACGATTTGGAAACCACAGAAAATTCCGTTGTGTCTAATGAATTGTCGGTTCTGCTGTTGCTCGCTGCTACGTCTCTACTACCGCATTTCTGGTCAAAATGATCAGCTTGCGCCTCGTTTGGATACTCTTTGATATCATTTTTCAACGCGTGTGACTCTAACAACTTCTTCTGTATTGTCAATAGGGCTGCTGCATGCTCAGCGGGATCCTGTAATGGCGCTTCCAAAATACGTTTCGGTTTCGCTTGTTCGTTAGTACGACGAATCAAGAGCTGCTTGGGAATAAGTTTAAGTGCGTTCTTTACTTCATTCGCTTCATCGTCTTTCGTATGCGTTGCCGAGCCTACATTGAAACCTGCAGCATGCTGTTTATCACACGATTTCTCTGATCCGTACTCCGCAAAAATATCCATACGTCCTGAGGTATGTAACTTTGGGCACGGTTCAGTTATTGAAATGTCGTCGAACAAATTATCAGCGGTTTTAATGTCAAAGTTATGAACGGAATCTTTGTCCTCCAGCTGTACTTTGTTCAAAATATTCTCCACCTTTTCACTGGCATGTTTAGTATCACGTAACTTTGTTAATTGTAAAGGTATCCCAGACATGGGACTCGATAGCTCGTCTATCGTAATTAACATTTCTTTCTTTCTTTTCTCACGGAGTAGAGAATTACAAGAACTGCTCTCATTAGACACTTCTACATCCTACAAAACAAAACAAAATAATTATTTAAATAAAGGAATTAAAGGATTTAAATAAATATGTATGTACATACTAATGGATATTTTACATACTATGTAATAATATATTTAAGTATAATATATTCAATAAGATTATTCATAAATATGTATATCCAAAAAGGACATTAGCTTAAAAAGTTATATTAAAATTGACAAAAATTTCATCGATTTCATTTTTAATATGTCTTTTTATTCAAAATAATATTTTCCGATTTTTCATACCAGATCAGTGTCTTCTCTCATCTTAATTATATGTTTATGCGCATGCTTGCATTATATTCCATAATAATAGGATCTATTTCAGAAATTGATTCAGTATTTGGAAAATATTAGAGTGAGGATGAAAAATCTCAGACGATTAATTGCCTCTTGATCTGTTTTTTAATAGCTGAACTAATGTACATTTTCTGTATTTAAAATAAAATAGTTATAAATGTTTGAAATGTGACAAAAAAGGAAAGAAAATTCTATTCTGTAATCCTGTGCAACAAGAAAAAACAAACTTATTTTCATATTTTGCGCTCATCTGACCGTGCAAATATTCAATTAGTACTTGTTTTTAAATTTGTATTTATACGATTATTCCTTGAGTGGTCATTGTTTTTTTTCTCCACATATTAGAATTAGAATAAATAGCTCGATTTGACTAAACATCAATGTATTGTAATATATTGAAATACTAGCAGATTTTAACAGAAAATCATTTCAAAAAATTTAATATACATCTTTTATCATTTGGTTTTAAATTATAGTGGATTTTGAATTCTGGTAATCTTTCTCTGGTTATCTTCCCAAGAAATGCTCAAAATAATCTTGTTCTCAATACAAGCCTACAAATGTTTTATTATTTTCTTACTCTCTCATTATTCCGATTTACTAGAAATATTAATACTGAAGTTCTTTGTAAAATAATTGAATAAAATTTCTTGCAAATAATATTTGGAAATATCGAGAAAGTAAGAGATATTGAGATATTTATTAATTTCATTTAAGCTTAATTTTTATTGAATATTGCATATATAATAAATAGAATTGATTAGTCCAACATCCAGCAGTTCCCGAGAAATGAGTCATGAATTAACTATTATTAATAATTGCCCTCCCCTCGGCGCGGCGCTCACGTGCGCGCGGATGATAATATCAACCAATAGTTAAGAGGATGCTAAAGCCGTCTGTTTTATCGACAAAAGTACCATATTTGTTGGTTACTAATTACTTCGTATTAATCTCATAGAATAAAATTTCCTTTTCCACGATTAAAACACACATGCTAAAGATCGGAAGAGCACA